TACAGCCTTCCCCATAGAGGAGAGCAGCAGCGAGCCGGGGTGGGGGCTTGTGAAATACCAACGCGGTCGCCCGTAGGCTGGGAAGCCCGGGCACGGCTGGAGCACCACTTGTGCAGACAGAGGAAGGGTTTCAAGACGCCCTTGAGCAATGAGAGAGCCCCCCTGCACTCGCCTGGGGGACGCCGGGGTGCCGGGGGGGGTCACGGGCTTCCCCTCGCCCCGTGCGGCTCAGTCCGGGCTGCATAATCTTCCAAGAAATTTCCTGACCTGTTAAATGGAAAGAGAAAGGCAGCCCTGGCTCCCAGGGCAGGCAAAGCCCCCCCCCCCCCCCAGCCATCGGGCAGCAGAGCCGATGTGCCCCGCCATGGCCCCCATCCCGCGGCCGAGCCGAAACGTGCCCCGTTCCGCTTGGGGCGGGCACAAAGCCACCGAGTTCCTGTTTGCAACCCAGGGTCTCCGTCCCGCCGGGGCTGGGTACCTGCACGCGGGGTCACCGGCACCGGGCTTGTTGTTGTGAGACCCGACTTATCAGTGCCCTGGTGCTTCCCCGCTCCAGCCGTGCCTTCCTTCCGAGCCGATTGTTGATCACAAAGTCTTGTCTGCACTCGAAAAGGAGATTTCCTGCAATTGTTTTGCAGGACTTGCAGCCTGATGCAAAATTTTCTGCCTATCAGCCCCCTCCCCAGTGCCAGGGCAAGGCTCAAGCCCCCTCCCTTCCCCTGCAAAACTGCCAGGCAATCATGGCTCGGTGATTAATTGCTGCTCGGCCAGAGGTGTTTCTGCGGCGATAGCCATCTGCCATCAACAGCTCGGAGCGACGGGCAGCGCTGACCTGGCAGAGACGTTCCGTTCTGGCCCTTTTTCCCCCAAAGGAAAGCCTGAGCTCGCCCTGGCATCGCATGAGCATCAGGGGGGTCAAGGGCACGTTCGCTTTAACCCACCCTAAAACCCCCTGGGACCCCCAGGGCTGAGGGAGGACCTGGCTCAGCTGGGTCCATCCCAGAGGATGCATTTTCCCCTCCTGCCCACCGTCGCAGCGAGACCCAGGCAGGATCCAGCCCCCAAGACCAGTGGGGCCGCGGCAGCCGGGTCCTGCGGGAGCGATGGTGGAGGGGCCCTGCCCGCAGGAGCCCCGAGGAGCCCCGCTCCGTCCTCGGGCACCCACAGCTTCGACACTGCCACCTGCCTGGGGCCTCCCGGCGCCCGTCCCCAGCCCCGCAGCAAAATCAAACG